GGGTGTGGTGCTGTGGGTTAATGTGCTGGACTGCCAAGTTGGTTTGAATTGTAGAGTCGGTGGTTCAGGCTCACCAGCTGTTTCTCATAAACCCTTTACAGGGTCACTATGAGTCAGAACCGACTCGATGACACTTGACAGCAACAAGCTGTGGCTAAATGTCTAGCTTTGGGCTAACTTACTTTGGAGGACTGTACAGTTTTACTTTTGAGATTTGATCTAGCTTTAATGTTAAGGGTCAAAAGACCTCTACTTGTAGCTGGTATCAAAGGGGATATTTAGAGTATGTCTTAGGAGAAGCAAGCATAATGGATATTGTATGTATTTCTCCCTTTGTTCTCTGCCTCCCCCAGTGTATATATAAGTATTTGGCCCAGTATTGTTTTAGGTTGTTGGCCTTTCTCTTATTGAATTATACAAACTCTTCATACTTTCTGATTAATGTCATGTAGGAAATACTTTCTCACTTTCTGTCACTTTCACATTATCTATTTTGTTTGTTTTTCTTTAACTTTTTATTGTGAATTGAGTGAAGGTTTACAGACAGGATCATCAGTTTTACATTCAACAAATTATACACTTTGTTTCATCTCAGTGATTGTAATCCCCTCCAATCAACAACAGTTACCTAACTTCCTCTCTGTGGTTCCTATTTTTCCATTCCACCTACCTTAACAGCCCTTCTCAACTTTGTGCATGTGTAAATGTTGCATTTTTTTAATATTTTGAATGATTGACCATTCCTTGGTGAGCGTAACTAACTAGTGTTGTTGTTCCCCCTTGTGTTCTATTTACTGCTCGGCTGAAAATTGGGCCATGAGGGTGAGTTTCTTTCTGGACCTGAAGGTGGTTGAGGGCTAAAGTCTTGGGTTCTTCCAGTTGACCTGGGCTTTTTTTATAATTTTACATTTTGTTCCACAATTTCTCCCAGTCTCTCTGGGACCTTCTAATGTGATCCCTTTAAGGGTAGTTGGTAGTGCTAGCTGGGCACCATCTTGTTCTTTTGGTTTCAGAGTTGTAGAAACTGATGTTCACATGTTCTATTAGTCCATTGGATGAATTATTTCCAAATATCTTTAAATCTCATCACTCTTCTTTCTTCCACATATGAGCTTTTAAGATCGCAGATGCTGCTCAGCAAAGGAGGATGTAGAACACTGTCTTTGTGGACTATGTCGGGAGACTGTGAATCTTTATAAGAGCAGAAAACCTCATCTTTGTTCCTAGGCATGACTGTTGGGTTTGAACAGCTGACCTTGTAGGTAGCAGCCCAGGGCTTATCCTACAGTACCCCAGGACTCCTTAAACACTGCTATGTTAAGTTGTTGTTGATGCTCTTAAGTCAGTTCTGACTTATAGTGACCCTGAATAGGGTTTCCAAGGAGCAGCTGCTCCGTGAAACAAATGAAACAAAGTGCATTTGATGTATGAAAACACACATAAAGCAGCAGTTAATTCTGCTTTAGGTTAGGAATATGGAGAGGTAGTCAATTAATGTTGCTTAGAGGTGAATGGAATTTGAGCTGATCTTTGAAGAATTAACATTCAATCAGTTGTTTTTGTTTTTCATTTACTAAAATTGTATTTATTTGGAAAAATGAAAACCTGTTGCTTACATGTAAATTTTTTTCCAGTGTCAGTCCATGAATATTTATGAAAAAGATGGCCAATATTAACTTCAAAGAAGTAACCTTAATAATAGGTGTGGTGACTGCCTGCTATTGGAACAGCCTCTTTTGTGGTTTTGTTTTTGATGATGTTTCAGCAATATTGGATAATAAAGACTTACATCCATCTACACCTTTAAAAACCTTATTTCAGAATGACTTCTGGGGAACTCCTATGTCTGAGGTAAGTAATTGTATTTCATATTTTAAGATATTCTGTTACTTTATTGGCGCTGTTGTTTAATGTGTTGCACTGTAAAGTTACTTTATTACTCTAAATTCCTTATCTCCATTGTCATTATAAGGAGCTTTGGTAGCGTAGTGGTTACGAATCAGGCTGTGAACCGCAAGGTCGGCAGTTTGAAATTACCAGCTGTTCCGCCGGAGAAAGATGGGGCTTTCTGCTCCCGTAAAGATTTACAGCCTTGGAAACCCTGTGCAGCTATGAGTCGGAACCGACTCCACGGCACATAGCCATTGTCATCATAATATGTAAGGGTTTTTTCCCAAAAATTTATAGGAGGCATAATATGTTGTAATAAATTGAGTAGCAAGTTTAAGATGTGATTATCTCTTTAAAAACATACTTCATTTGCTCCTTGGCTGTGTACCTGTGAAAAGCAAGAGGTATACTATATAGTTCCTGTTTTCTCTCTTGTGAATCAGGCAAAAGAGATGACCTCTTGTGATATATTTAACCGTTTTTAAATAGAGTAAATTTCAATATAAAGAGATCATATTTTAAAGGAAAAATAGTATATACATTATGTACTCCTCTGGAGGAAAAAAAAGTAAAATCATTTACTAAATATTTTTTATTTAAGTCTGTGTTTTATCTCTTACCTCTGTTATATACTTTTTATTGAAAACTTAAAAGAGTAGTTCATTTTTATGAGGATAAGTTTACTCTATCAATTTATTTTGAAGATGAATAAGCACTGAACTGGAGTCGGCTGTGGTGCTATAGGACAAGCACTAGAATGCTTACCACAAGGTCAGCTGTTCAAATCCACCAGCTGCTCCTCAGAAACACTGTACAAGTTCTCTGAGTCGGGTGACACCACTTAACAGCAAATCACTAAACTGTCTGTGCTTAAACCCTTGGTGATTTAGGATTGTATAAATTTACTTCTAATTTTAGTTGTGCCATATATTGGTTAAGTGGCATCAAGTAGGTTCTGACTCATAGTAACCCTGTATAGGGTGTCCAAGTTGCTGTTGGTGGGCTTGAACTGCTGATGTTGCACTTAGCAGTCTGTTGCTCATCTTTCAGCACCACACCAGGACTCTGGTTTAGTGCTTACTGTGTAGAATTCATGAGAAGACAGCTTTTAGATGGCAAGTCATTTTTCTTATCTATGAAATGAGATTAATACTTTGAGAATAAATAGATTAATGTATTTGTATACAGTGCCTAGCACATGTTGTTAGCTTCCATTGAGTCGACTCCCAATCACAATCCCTTGCATAGTGGGACAAAACACTGCCTGGTTCTGCAACCATTTATGAGGATCGTTCCGATACATTGTAATCCATAGAGTTGTCATTGGTTGATTTTTTATTAGTAGGTGCCCAGACCTTCTTTCGTAGTCCATCTCAGTGTGGAAGCTTTGCTTCTAACAACTATAGTCACCATAATAGCAGCAATCGAGCCTCCACTGACAGACAGATGGTGACTACTCATGAGAATTCAGGTCACACACCTAGAAGGCAAGAATTCCACCAGAAAAGCATAAACACATTTCCCTTGCATTGATTCCAACTCATAGCGAGTCTCTAGGACAAAGTAGAACTGCTCCTTAGGGTTTCCCAAGCTGTAAATCTTTACAGAGGCAGGTTGCCCCATCTTTCTCTCGCAGATGGGAGCAAACTACTGACCTTTTGGTTAATGATCAAGTACTTAATCCATTCTCCACCAGGCCTCCTTAGGGTTCTACCATTGAACCACAAATACCCCTATCTAACGCATTGTTGTGTAAATGCCTTCAATTCAGTTACTACTCATAGCGATCTTGTATGTCCTGTATAGGGTTTCCAATGCTTTATACATTTAAGGGAGGAGAAAGCTCATCTTTCTACAACAGAGCAACTGGGAGACTTGAACCACGAACCTTGTGGTTTGTAGTCCAGTGCTTATCTTAAGGAGTTATGTTGACTCGGTGGCTGTTGAAACCTAACATGCTTATTGTTCCTTATGAATTATCTTTGATCACTTTAACCATTCTTCAGACTTGTAAGCTTCCAAAGGAGATAGAGGAAATCTTTCACTCTGGTAGTTACAAGCACATGGTATATATTTTTTCTATTTCAATAAGCAGGGTATTGAATTTTCCTGTTACCTTCTTGTTCTCACCAGTTTTTGCTTTTTAAAGATCTTTGATAGCAAGGGAAAAAAACAGCTCTATTAGAATATCTGTTATTTTTAGATAACTTATTCCCTTATATCCCTACCCCTGATCAGCAGAGACCTTTAAAATGCATCCATTCCCCCATCTTTTGTTGTGATTAATAGTGACATAAAATCTTTGATTTGAAAAATTAGCTGGCCAGATGAAAGGACCTCATAGAATTGGCATACCATGGTTTCAGTGCTATGGGAGTGAGCTGTTTATTTTTAAGTCATTTTGTTGATCTCTGGTAGCGTAGTGGTTACGAATCGGCCTGCGAATCACAAGGTCAGCAGTTTGAAACTACCAGCTGTTCCGCGGGAGAAAGATGAAGCTTTCTGCTCCCGTAAAGATTTACGGCCTCGGAAACCCTGTACAGGTCGCTATGAGTCGGAACCGACTCCACGGCACATAACAATGGACCAGCCAAGGTTGAGAGCTATAATTAGCCATACTCATGTGACTTTTGTCCTATGCAGTAAGTACCTTGGCTTATGGTAACTTCTTCAGGTATCCTGTCTTTCTGTGTTGTTTGTCATCTCTGTGTGTAGATTGACATTAATAGGAAACTGTTAACATACTTATTTATTGCATTCATCCTTCTGTTTCTATTGCCAGCTAATACCAGGAGTAATTAAGTTTACTTTTACTGTTCTTGATTGTCACAGTGAACGGTTTTGTTTCACAAGGGAACCAGCTATTTTACTGTTTTTAGAATAAACTTGTTATATAATAAGCTGATAATTATTAATCAAAATGAAGTCTTAAATAGGTTCCTAGTGAATTATGTAATTAGTCATAGTAATAATCTGCTTTTAGTTAGTTATTGCCTGTGGCATATATGCATCTAATTGCCATAATCAAGCAATTATTTAAGATGTAATTAAAAATATGTGTTATTTTATTTTTAACTACAAATTTTTAACTGGAACATATATTCCAATAGAATAACCTTAACATTTCAGGCACTTATAGGGTTTGACTTATAGAATCTTTTTTACTTTTCCATGTGTTATGCATAGATTTGTGTTCCCCAAAGCCATGTGTTTTAAATCCTGACCCCTATAACTATGGTTATAATCCCATTTGGGAATGGGTTTCTTTGTCACTTTACTAACACAACATTAGTGTTGTTGTTAAGTGCCGTCAAGTCTTTTCCAGCCCATAGCAACCCTGTATAGAGTTTCCAAGGAGCAGCTGGTAAGCTTGAACCACCGACTTTGCAATTCAAATGGCTTTGCAGTCTGGCGCGTTAACCCACAGCACCACACCCGGACTCCAATAAAAATTTCTGTTCATAAGTCACCCACTTATCATATTTCAGTTATGTGGTGGTGGTGGTTATATACCGTGGAGTCAGTTCCAACTCATAGCGACCCTGTACAGGGTTTCTGAGGCTATAAATCTTTACAGGAGCACCTGTGGAACATCTGGTAGTTTCGAACTGCTGACCCTGAGGTTAGCAGCCCGACTGGTAACCACTATGCTACCAGAGCTCCTTACATTTCAGTTATGTTGTTGTAATGTGCTGTGGAGTTGGTTCCGACTCATAGCGACCCTGTACAGGGTTTCTGAGGCTGTAAATCTTTACAGGAGCAGAAAGCCTCATCTTTCTTCCGTGGAACAGCTGGTAGTTTCGAACTGCTGACCCTGAGGTTCGCAGCCCGATTCGTAACCAGTACGGTACCAGATCTCCTTTATTTCAGTTATAGCATCAACTAAGTAAGACAGAAAATGGTAAGTGCTACTCTAACAGATAACCTAAAACATTAAGGCAGTTTTGAAGTTGGGTAATGGGTACAGTCTGAAAATTTGTAATATTCTCCATAGTAAGACCCTGGATTACTTTGAAGAGACTGGATAGAATTATGGGTACTATAGACATTTCTGGTGAGAATGTAGAAGGAAGTGAGAAAAGCTATTACAATCTTCTATTAGCTTAGAAAATACATATGGTGCTGTCAACAGAACGTTGAATGTGGATATGTGGACATTCAATGTGCTTCTGATGATGCTTTTAAAGTAAAGGATTAACATATGATTTGACAGTGGAGGAGGGTGATGCTTTTTATATAACTTGGCTAAATTATGTTCATATGTTTGGTGGATGATAGAACTGTTGTTGTTGAAAAGTACTGTGGAGTCAATTCCGACTCATAGCAACCCTGTACAGGGTTTCTGAGGCTGTAAATCTATACGGGAGCAGAATGCCTCATCTTTCTCCCGTGGAACCGCTGGTAGTTTCAAACTGCCAATCTTCAGGTTAGCAGCCCGATTCGTAACCACTATTCTACCAGAGGCCCTTGGAAGGTAGAACTAGTAAATTATAAACTTGGATATTTGACTAAGGAAGTTTCTAAGCAAAATCTTAAAGGGGTCATGTGATTTCTTCCTGTTTATAGTAAAATGTGCAAGGAAAGAGATGGACTTAAGAACGAACTGTGCAAAATAAAAATATAACAAAGATTTGGAAAATTCTGTTGTACAAACTCAGGACACATTCTAGAAGTTTCACTTAAGAACATGGCTACACAGTCTTCTATTTCTGTAATTGATGAATCTAGCCAACTACCACAGCAGAAAGCCAATCAGCGTAGACTATAGGGGTCAGAGACAGAACAACAGGAAAGCTGTCTTGTAATTCTACAGGCAAGAAATAAATTGTTGTCTTCCCTGGTAAAGAAAAGACTGTCCTTAGAACAGAGTCCTGGTGTGGCACTGCAGGTTAATGCACTGGAGTGCAACGCCGCTTTGAGAACCACAAGGTTGGCGGTTCAAACTCACCAGCTGCTCCTTGGAAACCCTATACAGGTTTGCAATGGGTCAGAACTGAATTGATGGCACTTAATAACAATAACATCCCTAGAACAGCTCAAAGATAAGGAGAACTGTTGTAAAGAACACTGGAAACAAGCCGACTGATTTCAAAGGGTGGAGTCAGTCTCCTAAACTGTGAAAAAAAAACAAAAAGGATAAATACTGTATATGTATTAAACCTAACGAGATGGATTGGCCAGGTGGCATCATTGATGGACTCAAGTGTGGCAGCGGTAGTGAGGTTGGCCCAGGATCGGACATTGTTTCGTTCTGCTGTGCATGGGGTCACTATGAGTTGGTTCCGACTCGATGGCACCTGACAACAAATGTTGGTGGTGGTGGTGTTAGTACTGTCTGATTGGTTTGGACTCATAGCGACCTTGTTGAGGGTTTCCAAGGAGTGACTGCTGAATTGCTAACCTTGTGCTTCAAACCACCCTTGAAGTCCAGTGCTTATCCTACAGCACCAAACTAGGACTTAGCATTCAGTGATTATCCTACAGCACTACCAGCACTCCAAGGACTTCATGTAGAAAATCTTTCAAATAGCCACAAGACAGATACTAGAACTAATCAATAAATTCAGCAAAGTTTCAGGGTAACATAGGAAATCATTGTGTTTTTGTATACCAGCAGTGAAATAATTAAGAAAACAAATCAATTTATAATAAATCCTAAAGGGATAAAATATCTAGGAATAAGCTTAACCGAGGAGGTGAAAAACTCACATGCTGAATTGCAAAATATTTATGAAATAGGTTAAAGAAGACCCTAGTAAAAGTACAGGCATACCTTGGAGATATTACAGGTTTGGTTCCAGACCACCAAAATAAAGCAAATATTACAATAAAGCAAATCACATGAATTTTTTTCTGGTTTCCCAGTGCATTTGTGAATTATTTTTATACTATACTGTAATCTGTTAAGTGGGGATTTTAGGTTTAATATATTCAGGTGCATACATTTTAGAGGTTTTTTTTCATAAAGCAAATAGCATTGGCACTTGCTAATGAAAGGCCTAACAAATCTAAAAATCAGCCATTTAATAACCCTATGAAGCACACTTCTACTCTGACAAACATGGAGTTTCCATCAGTTGGAGTCAATTTGGCAGCAACTGATTTTTATTTTGAGTTATCACTATTTGAACTGAAGTAATGAGCCTTCTATTCCTTTTTTTTAAGTTTTTATTGTGATTTGAGTGAAAGTTTACAGGGCAAATCATTACTTTTATATTCAATATATCATACACCTTTTTTCATTACAATGGTTATAATCCCCTCCATGTACCATCAGTTAACAGTATTTCTCTCTATTCACTTTAGCTCTTTTGTTGAAATTGTTGTTGTTAAACACTCAGGCATATATAATAATTTACACTACCAAAGGACACATTCTCCAAGCCTGCCTCCTCTCAGTCCCTCTCTTTCCATGAATTTAGAGTCCCTAGCTGCTCCCTGCATTCTATTCCCTTTTTAACATCTGGCCTACAGTTCTATAAAATCTTGTATAATGTATTTGTAGTAAACAATTTGATCAGTGCCACCCGTGCCCTTGTTGTTATTAGGTGCCATTTAGTCAGTACTGACTCATAGTGACCTTATGCACAGCAGAATGAAACACTGCTCAATCCTGGGCCAACCTCACTATCATTGCCACGCTTGAACCCATTGTTCCTGGCACTTTGCCAATCCATCTCACTGGGGGTCTTCCTTTTTTTCTCTGACCCTCCATGCTACCAAACATGATATCCTTCTCCAGCGACTGTGCCCTCCTGACAATATGTCCGAACTATGAGAGACAAAGTTTGGCCATCCTGGCCTCCAAGGAGCACTATGGCTGCACTTCTTCCAAAATGGATTTATTGGTTCTTTTGGCAGCCATGACACTTTCAATATTCTCCTCCAACACCATAACTCAAAATCATGAATTCTTCTACAGTCTTTCTTATTCATGTGTCCAGCTTTCGCATGCATATATGTGGTTATGTATGTCATACATTCCATGTTCTGATTATTAATGGATGTTTACAGCTGTTTCTCTTCATTTTGAGTTGTGCCCCATCAGCAAATGAAGGTCCCAGAGTCTTTAGTCCCACAGGCATTACTCCATTCATTCCATCACAGTCAACTCTACTTTGAGGATGCAGCTCTTCCCCAGTCGCATTTTGAGTGCCTTCCAAGCCGAGGGGCTCATGTTCCGGCACTATATCTGACAGTGTTTCTCTGCTATTCATGAAATTTTCAGTGACTAAGTATTCAGAAGTAGTTTGTCACTCTTTCTTCCTAGTCTGTCTTCATCTGGAAGCTCATCTGAAACCTGTCCACCATGGGTGACCCTGTACCAGTGGCATAGCCCTCAGAATCACAGCAACTCAAAAGCCACCACAGTACAACAAACTGACAGACCCGTGCCCTACTATTTTTTTTTTAAATCAGTTTATCTATGAAGTTAAAAGTCAAATGTCTCTAACCACTGTATTATCAGGAATGGGGGAATTGCCTTGTTTTGGATCTCAGTGCATGGAAAGCATAGATTATACAGTTCTCTTTTAAGTTCAAGTTACTCAGTGGAACATTTCGTTATTCTATTGTTATTTCTCAGCCAAATGGATACACCTTTAACAGGAAATGTAATGATGCTAAGTTCTTATGTACCGGGAAGAACTAAGATACTTTAATAATCAATGTTTTGTTGTTTTTTTTTTTAATTGTAGGAGAGAAGTCACAAATCTTACCGTCCTTTAACAGTATTGACATTTCGTTTAAATTATCTGTTTAGTGAACTGAAGCCAATGTCATATCATCTCTTAAATCTGATTTTTCATGCTGTGGTTAGTGTGATATTTCTTAAAGTCTGCAAACTTTTTCTGGACAACAGGAGTAGTGTGATTGCTTCCCTGCTTTTTGCAGTGCATCCAGTACACACAGAAGCTGTAAGTAAAACTATTTTTCCCCCATTACTGTTTTGTGAAAGGAATCTTGGTGGCACACTGATTAAGTGCTAAACTGCTTACCAAAATGTCAGTTGTTTGAAACCACCAGCCACTCCATGGGAGAATGATGTGGCATTCTGCTTTCATAAAGATTTACAGACTTGGAACTAAGACAGGGAAATTCTGCTTTGTTCTATTAGAGTTTCTGTAATTTGGATTCAACTCTGTAGCAACAGATTCTCTTTGTTTTTGGTGGTGTTTTGTAGTTTGGCACTATAGGATCAGCACTGGGCTGTGAACCACAAGGTCAGCAGTTCAAACCCACCAATTGCTCCTTGGAAATTCTATACAGGATCAGAAACAACTCGACAGCACTTAACAACAACAACATTGATTATAACGTCATGTTATTAAGGGGAAAAAATTTAAGCATGACTTTGTTGTATTGTTGTTAAATACTATGGAGTTCATTCCAACTCAGGTTTTCTGAGTCTTAAAATCTTTGCAGGAGCAGAAAGCCTCATCTTTCTCCTGTTGCATGGCTGGTGGACTCAAACCATCGCACAATTCAGTGTGAATAGTATGGAGCCAAAGACTTAAATTCGTACAATAAGTTTAACTTCCTTGTACATAATTTAAAAAATTTAAACAACTTTTAGACATAAATGTTTATTCAGTTAAGAATATAAGACAGAATCCCTTAACTATGGTGGTGTGCCATGGAGTTGACTCCAATTCAGAGACCCCCACATAGTTTCCACACCAGGACTACATACATGTATGTGGTGGTGGTGGTGGAGGAGGAGTGCTATCAAGTCAACTTATAGTGATCCCGTATAGGATTTCAAGGCTGTAAATCTTTACTGGAGCAGAAAGCTTCATCTTTCTCCTGCGGAGCACCTATTGAACTTAAACTGCTTACCTTGCGGTTAGGAGTCCAACACGTAAATCACTATACTACCAGGGCTCCTTTAACTTGAGTAATTTAAAATGCAACTGTATACAGTTCTTTTCTTTGCTAATTGTTCATCAGTATCCATCTTAGGGTTATTTATCATATTTTCAGTGTTTGTATTTCAAAGGCCAAAAAAGTCAGTAAAGCAGAATTAAGTAAGGAATGAAAATTTATCAAAATATATGGAAGCACTAGTAGCTATCCTAACAAATGATGGTATGCAGTAGTTTCATATTTTATATTGCCTTGTGTTTCTAAATTGTGATCTGTCTCTGCTATTTCCAATGTGTTCATTAGCCCCTATCCCTATGTAGCAGGCATTTAAACTATCATTTTCCTTAGTAACCTTGAAACTCCAAAATTGCTTTCAGCTTGGGCAAAGAGTACTTTGTTCAGTCGTTTTAGTTACAAACTTTCATTTGTAGTCAAAAGTATTTATGTTTAAAACTGTGTATGTGTTTGTGTTGGTGTTAGTTGGGGGTCAGGGTATGTGCTGTGTCACTTTCCAACTACATATCTTTAGTGTCTAGCTGAACAGACATTTTCCTATGTGTTTACAAAAGTGATAGATGGTTTTCGATTTTATGAGTTCCCAAATGCATTAAAGGGAAGAGTTAGGAGGGAGGTAGTGGGTTATATACTGATATTTAGAATTTAAGGACTTCTGAAATAAATTAATCTGACAGAAGTGAAGACTGAAATCCATGAAGGTGAGACAGTTTGACCAAGTTCACAGAACAAGAATTTAAAATAATCTCTCTTGAGTTTAATTACCAATGTTTCCTTTCCCCAGTACTACATTGTCTTACTACATACCTCTTTCCTTATTTGTAATACAACTCTACCATTTCAGAAAAGGAGTATAAGTTATAATTAAAATTTTATCTAAACTCCTACATAGCTTTTTATTTCTAGTGGTTGAAATTTAGTTCTCTACTTAAATTGACTTCTGTTTGTTTTATTTTTTAAGGCTATTGTCTTTTTAAACTATAGTTAGCTGGTTTAATATGAGGTATTGCTTATGGAATTCTTTATACTTTTGTATTTTAAATTTTTTTTAGCTTTTTAAAAATATGTTTAAAAACTTTTGTACTACAGAAACTGGTAAGTGGTACACAGAACCTCTGCTTTTTACGTTTATTTTTTTTATTTTTGGTAATTTCCTGTGAGTCTGTAATTACTTCAGCATAAGTTAAATAATAATGCATTCTGATAGTTTCATCCATAAATGATAATACAGATTCACCACATGAGGGCACTCAAAGGATGTCTAAGAAATACAAATGTGAATTTGAAAAGTTATGAAAATTTACTTCTATTTTAATTGCTGTTAGTATTACATAACATTTTAAGAAACTGTTGATTTGGAACCCGTTCCCCATTTTCTCTTTCTAGGTAACAGGTGTTGTAGGAAGAGCAGAACTTTTATCATCGATATTTTTTCTAGCTGCATTTTTATCATATACCAAGTCAAAAGGACCAGATAATTCTATAGGTAAATGTCTTACATTTGCCTTTTTTCTATAGCTATAAAGCTTTCTGAGGTAACTTTTATTTATGCCACATGCTTCTCAAACATTATGTGATATACTTGAGGTTTATCTTTATACATTGTTCTACTTTAGCATGTATGATAATATGAATGAAATATGTTATCCCTATTGAAAATTGCATGTAGTTTATATTTTATCATAAACTCTGGCAGATTCTGTGTTATCTAATTTTAGAAACCAAATTACCTTAGAATTTAGAAGTTTAGAATATTGTTCCCTAGTTCCATATGCTGTTATCTATAAATAATACAGACACCAGTGCTTCAGTTGACTTTCTCTAAATGTTACCTGATGGACTATGAGTGGTACTATTTAAGTAAGGTAAGGTTAGAAGCCTACTAGAATGTAACTTCTATTATGTGTGGATCATAGTTCAGTTATTTATTGAGTTCTATTATGTGTCCTAAGGAGCCCTGGTGGTGTAGTGAGTTATGCCTTGGACTAATAACCACAAAGTCAGCAGTTTGAATCTACCAGGCACTTAGTGGGAGAAAGATGAGACTTCTGCTCCCTTAAAGATTTAAAGCCACTGAAGTCCTGTACAGGGTCACTGTGAGTCGGAATCAAGACAGTGACATACAATCACCACCATCACTGTGTGTCCTGTTGAGGAAAATGCTGTGTATACCTACAAAAACCAGGTGGAGCATGTCTGACTTCCCTTGGCTTCACAAGGGGGAAGGAGAATCAATCTCAAAACCAGCTTAAGATTGATTCCTGTGAAGTGGAAGTCAGACGTGCCTCCACCCTACACCACCCCTCCCACAGCACTGTGTACTTCACATCTGGGTTCATCAATCCATTGCACTGTCCACACAGAACTCATAACAATACTCATGATTATGAGGCACTCCTCACCCTTATCTTCAGCCTCTCAGCCATGTGGCCCTGTGGCTCTGCCCAGCTCGGCCGCTATTACCAAGCCCCTTAACTGTCTTAAGAGCACATTTTGCAATCCAGCTTTATTATTCAGTGCATAAGCCTAAATGCCTACAGCTGCTGCTCCATGTAGCCCCCACCCCCCACCCCTGCTGTCTCTGTTTTTCTAGGCAGTGATCTCACACTACACTCAGTGCTCTTCTTTCTTGATGGTCCTGGAATCATCGGTTCCTGCTTCTAAGATGGCTTCTTTTAAACCTAGCTGGATGGCAAAACTAACCAATCCTACCCTTAGAAGTCTGTATACCTTATTTGCATAGTCCCACCCAGTCATTTGGTAGGAATTAAGAAGACATTGGATAGAAAAGCCATAGCAAGTACATTCAGGTACCACAATACATTAGTTCATTAATGGTGCCTAGGATTGTCAGGAAAGAGCTCTGGTAGTGTAGTGGTTACAAATCAGGATGCTGACCTGCAGGTCAGCAGTTTAAACCTACCAGCTGCTCCACAGGAGAAAGATGGGGTTTTCTGCTCCCATAAAGATTTACGGCCTCAGAAACCCTATGCAGGGTCACT